TTGCCGGTCTTTTGAACAAGAGTAGAGACTTATCATTTGTTTCTTTTTTAGGATTGGGTTCCTGGTTCCATCTATAGTCGACTCCAGTTCTATACTTCTAATGCCTCTGAAATTTTATTTACTATGAACTTTTCCCCCAATAGCAGTAAATAGGTTTGCCGATCGTCTGATTCTCTTTTGAACAGGAGTAGATGTTTATCCCTTGTTTCCTGTTTAAGACTGGATTTCCGGTTCCTTTTAAAGTTTTTTCCCACTCTTTCATTTCCGGTAGCCCCTTGCGACTTGGTAGCATTATCTCTTTCGTAATCCTCTATCATGAGTGACTCTTGGGCCTTATACAGAGTGAACGTCATTGTAAATGCATTAGAATGTTTGTAAATATTATTTAGGTCTAATAAGAAGGGTCACTCTAAATCAGACATCAACGTGTCTACACAGTGGATTTTTTAAAGTTGTTCCGGGTATTTTACAAGCAAGAAAAAACAAGTTTTACGTTTTGAATTTGCTTATTTCTTCGTCTGTTTGTTTTGTTTACCTTTCTACTAAGCTAAGGTATGTTAATCTGGAAATTTGATTTAGGCAAAAATGAATTAAATCTTGAAATATCACCATGATTCCACTTCCCGATACCATTAGATGTGGTGGTGTTGGTAGGGAGAGTCTTTTTTCTTTCCTGACCCCCCAGAATCCGAACCCTACCCCGTATCCACCCTCCACGTTGTTTTATTTTGTTTTGCGTATACTTGTCGCGGCAGGATCCAAACTAGAGCATTAACGCTCAAATTGCTATTGCGACCAAATTAAACTATTCACAACCTCTACCCCCTTTGCAGCTGGTCGGACAATAGTATCACTTGATCTGTTCAGACAGAACGCTGTTCAGAGTTTAAAAGAAAACACTCGGTGTGGGTCAGTTTGATAAGAATATTTAATTGATGTCATAAATAGCAATGATATTTCTTTTTCTCGAAAAGAACCAAAAGAAGAAAGACTCTTGATAACAAATAAATCGAAATTCTTAATTCATCCGCCCAAATCTATCAGCAAACTCGCCTAAATATCAAATAAATCGCAATTCTTAAATATCAAATAAATCGCAATTCTTAAATATCAAATAAATCGCAATTCTTAATTCACTCGCCCAAATCTATCAGCAAATTCGCCCAAATTTACCAGCAAACTCGCCCAAATATATCGGCAAACTTGCACAAATCTATTAGCAATCACGCCTTTTCCGCCATTTGCATTGTTTCTAAATTTTCGTTGCAAATTTCTTCATCTAAACTATAGACCGATTGGTTCATTTATTCGTTTTCTACGGCGTATCAACCTTTTTCAGGTAGTTTAAAGCCAAGTATGTTTTTTGGTTAATAGTTTAGTGATACAAAACTTAATAATTAACCCATGGCTAGGGGAGAAGGAATGGATTTTTACGTGTAAGTTGTGTAACTGTTAGCGACTGGGAAAGTGAAATTAACGAACAGGGATCAAATTCTGACCGAATTCGATATGTTGACTTTCGTACAAATACCCTTGGGAAAAGTATGAAACTATCTCTTCTTCAAATAATGGCGTACATATAATTGAATAAAATATAATTGGACTTCGTTTTCTTTTTTGACGATATAAAAGCGGAAATTATTTATGACTCAAACCAACAGATACAAAAAAGTTTTTTCTATATATATATACAAGTCTATGATAAAGATTAATTTATAAATCAGACACAGTAAGAAATTAACAACTGTAACACTTATTACAGTATACTATAATAATAAAAAAATATGTGATGGATCGACAATTCATCATTCCTGGAGAATATAGAAAATTCAGCATATGATTTCTATCCTTTCATTTTAAGTCAATAACTTTCCCTTTTGTCCTTAAAGAAAGTACAGTATGCGGCAGAAATACTTCCCACATATACCTTTCAAAAATACCCCCTTCTTTTGATCGCTTCCAGAAATACCCCCCCACATTTGATCCCTTCCAGAAATATCTCCCACATATACCCTTCAGAAATACCTCTTAATTTTGATCCCTTCCATAAATATCTCCCACATGTACCTTTCAGAAATACTTCCTACTTTTGATCCCTTTCATAAATTTCTCCCACGTGTCCTCTACAGAAATACTTCCTACTTTTGATCCCTTCCAGAAATACCTCCCACATATACCTTTCTAAAATGCCTCTTACTTTTGATCCCTTCCACACATACCTCCCACGTGTACCTTTCAGAAATACTTCCTACTTTTGATTCCTTCAAGAAATACCTCCCTTATATATCTTTCAGAAATACATCATACTTTTGATCCTTCTCAGAAATACATCCCACATTTGATCCTTTCCAGAAATACCTCCAACGTATACCTTTCAGAAATACTTCCTACTTTTGCTCCCTTCCAAAAATATATCCCACATTTGATCCCTTCCAGAAATATCTCCCACATATACCTTTCAAAAATACCTCCCACATAGTGGTAAGACATTAGCTAGCTGAAGACATCATTTTCTTACCATTTTGCGGGAGGTCTTTCTGGGATCGCTATGTGGGAGGTATTTCTGCCGCACCCTATACATTCTGGTTTCTCTTTGGCAGCATTTAGGAGAAGATCAGATGAAAAGTATAGGAGCAGAAATATGTAAAACTTATTACCTGATTCAGCCACTCTCAGTTTTATAATCTGTGGCGACCTGGTTATTGTTCGGGCTCATTAAATAGTTCAAGATAACAAATGTTAGATTTCAAAAACCAGGATGCTTACCAAAGTTAGAATACTGACGCGAAACGGTCTAATCAAGAGAAGCAGGGAATGGGAACGAATAGAGAGTAAACATGGAAATTTACTCTCCATTCGGCCTCTGTGTTAGATAAGCTAGGCTGAATAAAGATTTAGGAAGATATAAGAAAATTTACCTCTGCTTTTCATGACAGTTTGAGAAGTCAGAAATATCTGTTTGCTAATGGCTATTTTCCTGTATAAACTAAAAGGTGTCATTCGCAAGAGCGTATAGGCCTGCGGTCTTCTTTTCATTCTAAATGAAGCCTGGGCCTTTTTATGTAGAAACACATATGGTTTTAAATCGGTAGACAGTGGAATCGGTACGTGGCTCTGGTTTTAAACCTTTAGAGTGGGCATTTCAAAAGATGCATCAATAGAAATTGACGCCGTTTCAATCATATGAAAGTAGAAATCGAAGTGGCGTAGGCTGTTCAGCTAAAGGTAACGATTATAGGCGTAACAATAATAAAATCAGTGAGGAATTAGTGAAGTAATAATACTAATCGTGTTTATAGGAATCGGAGACGGGATTCGGTTGGGAAAAAGGTTGCGTCGATTATGAGTTTAGCGTGAATGTTCGGTCATCTGCAACTGATTCAAAATGACAATAAAGGAAGAATTGAGAGGAAGAAAGGAAGGAAGGAAGGAAGGAAGGAAGGAGAGAAGGAAGGAAGGGAGGGAGGGAGGGAGGAAGGAAGGAAAGAAGGAAAACGAGAAAGAGGCGAAAGAAAGAAAGAAAAAAGCATGAAACATTTGAAGGAAGGAAGAGAAGGACCGAAAGAAAGATATGGAAAGAAGAGGAGAGTAGAACTGATGAAACGAAAGAAAAAAAGAAGGAAGGAAAGAAATTTAGGGAAGAGAGGAAGGAAAAATGAAAAAAGAAAAGGAAGAAGAAAGGCGAAAGAAAACTAAAGGAATGTTAATTAAAAGAATGTGACGAAAAAAGGAAACATGGAGAAAAGAAAGAAGAAAAGAAAAAGGAAGGAAGGAAGGAAGGAAGGAAGGAAGGAAGGAAGGGAGGGAGGAAGGAAGGAAGGAAGGAAGGAAGGAAGGAAGGAAGGAATGGAGGAAGGAATGGAGGGAGGAAGGAATGGAGGAAGGAAGGAAGAAAGGAAGGAAGGAAGGAATGGAGGGAGGAAGGAAGGAAGGAAGAAAGGAAGGAAGGAAGGAATGGAGGGAGGAAGGAATGGAGGAAGGAAGGAAGGAAGGAAGGAAGGAAGGAAGGAAGGAAGGAAGGAAGGAAGGAATGGAGGGAGGAAGGAAGGAAGGAAGGAAGGAAGGAAGGAAGGAAGGAAGGAAGGAATGGAGGAAGGAATGGAGGAAGGGAGGAAGGAAGGAATGGAGGAAGGAATGGAGTGAGGTAGGAAGGAAGGAAGGAAGGAAGGAATGGAGGAAGGAAGGAAGGAATGGAGGAAGGAAGGAAGGAAGGAAGGAAGGAAGGAAGGAAGGAAGGAAGGAAGGAAGGAATGGAGGAAGGAAGGAATGAAGGAATGGAGGGAGGAAGGAAGGAAGGAAGGAATGGAGGAAGGAAGGGAGGGAGGAAGGAAGGAAGGAAGGAAGGAAGAGAGGAGGGGAGGAAGGAATGAAGGAAGGAAGGGTGGAAGATAGGAAAGAAGGAAGAGAGGAGGGGAGGAAGGAATGAGGAAGGAAGGAAGGAAGGAAGGAAGGAAGGAAGGAAGGAAGGAAGGAAGGGTGGAAGATAGGAAAGAAGGAAGGAAGGAAGAGAGAAAGGAAGGAAGGAACGAACGAACGAACGAAGGGAGGAAGGAAGGGAGGAAAACGAAAAAGAAAGAAAAGAATAAAGAAAACACGAAACAGTTGAAAGAAGGAAAAGAATAAGGAAAGAAAGAAACAAAGAAGAGAAAGAAAGAATAAAGTAGGATGGGAGTTAAAAAAACAAAAGAATTACGGAAGGGTATAAATTTAGGGAAGAGAGGGTTCACTGGTTTGTTTCGTATGGCTTATTAACCTTTTGCAGTTTATTTCAAGACCGAAAATATTTTTAGACTGTAATAATTTTTTTTTTTGGGGGGGGGGGGGGTTAATAGTAATTTACCAGTAAAAGTCTTATTAATGAACCCATAACCGAGGGGGAAACTCGATGGATTCATATTTTTCCTAAGGGCATTTGCGCTTAAGTGTATATAACGAACCCGATTGGAACGGGAACTCTGCTATCCGATTTCCAGTTCCGTTACACCACCCACACATCCAAGCTTACAGCACCTGATAGTCACAAGCGGTTCTCCATCTAGCTACTGACCAGGCTCGACGTTGATTAATTTCAGTGATCTTACGAGAACTGGTGTTTCAACGTGATACGGCCGTAATCCCAGGAGGAGATGAACGAAAAATGAAAGAAAAGGGGGGGAAGCAAGAATAAAAGAATAGAAGATGAATTAAAAGGATGGGACGAAAGATCGAAACGTATAGAGAAGAAAGAAGGAAAGGAAAGGAAGGAAGAGGAAAAAAAGAGACACGAATGGAAGAAACATCACAAGAAAGAGAGAAAGAGAAAGAAAGAGAGAGAGAGAGAGAGAGAGAGAGTGGGGTAGAGTTAAAAGGAGAAATGAAATGCAAGTTTATCAGAAGATGTAATGGAAGAATAGACGGAAAGAAAAAAAATGAAAAGAAAGGAAAAATATAATGAATGAAGGGAAAGAAAACGACGAAGGAGATAAACTGTGAGAAGGCTGGAAAGCATTTTAAAATGAAGAAAAAATGAAAAATACAAGGAAATGAAAAGAAATAAGAAAGTTTTTTTTTATAAAATAGTGAGGAAAGGATAGGAAGCAAGATAGGAAAAGGAAGGAGTTAAGAAAGAAAACAAAAAAGAAGAAAAGCAGAAGGGGAAAGAAACATGGAGTTTTCCAATGGGATGGAAAGAAGCGAAAAGAAGCGAATGAATAAAGCTAACGTTATAAATAAAGAAGAAAAGTGGAGAGAAAGAAAAAAGGGGAAAAATGACGAAAGAAATAGAAAGAGAAGAAGAAATTTAAAATAGAATGAATGAAGGAAAATGAAAAAAGAAAAAAAATGTGCGAAACCCCAAAATTTAAAAAGAAAGAAAAAAATGAAAGAAGAAAAATAAAGAAAACTAAAGAAATTAGAAAACAAGAATAAAAGAAAAGGAAAAAGAAATGAAGGAAGATAAGAAAGAAAGAAAGAAAGAAAGAAAGAATGAAAGAAACGAAGAAAGAAAGAAGGAAGAAAAGAAGGAAAGAAAGAAGGAAAGAAAGAAAGAAAGATAAAAGAAACCAAATGAAAAAAAAACAGGAAAAAATAAAGAAGAAAGCGGAATACGAATGAATTTAAAAAGATTGAAAAAAAAATGAAGCAAAAAAAAGTAGATAGGTTCACCTATCGCCCGGTTTACACTTCTCCCCGGTCTTTTTAACAGGATTAGAAGTTTATCCCCTGTTTCCTGTTTAGGATCGGGTTTCCAGTACCTTTCTAAACTCTGAACCCTTTCTTTGTTTCGTCTTTTTTTAATCAGTTCACTCCAAAGCAAGGCGATAATGCCACTAAGATGCGGGGAGGTGGGATACTGGAAGAGAAAGAGAAGGTCCTTCAGTTTCACTTCCAGTCGCTACCCCACTAACTGCATCTTAGTGTCATTATTGCCTTGCTTGGAGTAAATTGATAAAAAAAAAAAAAAAAAAAACGTAAGAAAGAAATCAGAATCATTGAGATACAGAAAGGTTACCTTAAGGCAAAACTTGGCAAGCTGGCCTCACAGAACATTTCATTGGGAATTCTAAACTCTAAGCTTTCTATTATTATGATCTTGTGCCAGATAAAATTGTATTACATTTATTTGTCAGTCACTTCAGATCTTTCCTAGTCTTTTAGTATCGATCTCAGATTACATTTAGCTCAGATAATAGTTATTCATGTTTGAATGAGCTTTTCGCTTCTTGTTAAATCTTATAGAGATTCACTTCAGGACTTCTGCAAGTTAGGAACTATCGTTAGCATTTTGAGTGTGGAACTTCTGGTCAAGCGTTTGGAGCTTCAACGAAATTTCGGACAAACTGGTTCCTTGGATAAAAATGGGACGTCGACATGCTTCATTGCCAAGGCTGTGACTTTTATGTCGACGTCTCAATGGCTGTCCTTAATGAACGCCGCTCGGTGGCAAAGGAAACGGCAACGCGTAGCAAAGATGGAGAGCAAAGTAAAGGAAAGCATGGACGTGAAGAGCAAAGTCAGGGGAAGCATGGACGAGGTGGGAAAAGATGCGGAGAGCAAGGATGTGGAGAGCCGGGATACGTACAGCAAGATGAAAATGTTAAGGGTACGCAGAAAAAGACTGAGGTAAACGAGTCGATCGGTGTAAGAGAAATAGAGAGAGAGAGAGAGAGAGAGAGAGAGAAATGAAGGAGGAGAGAGAAGTAAAAGGGGAGGTTATCAAGAAGATTTTATGGAGGCAGGTGGATAAGATGGGTGGGTAAAAGCATCGTTGCAAACTATTTGGTCAGCGAAGCAAGACCATTAGACTAATGCAGACGAGACCACTGAATGTTAAAGACGGCTGAGGTCAGTGCTTACAATCAAGAGTCGTGCTGGCTCCCAGGACAATGACGCTGGCATATCTGAAGAAAGACAGCAATTATCACACATTTAGCATCCAAGACGGTGCATGCAAATCACATCGGAACACGGCTGTAAATGTTCATCGCCCCATTCTTAGTGCCGGCTTGTATTCTTCGCAGACGCCTTCCCACTACTTCTGCACCCATTCACGCCGTCAATCTTGCTCGTCAATCATCCATCGTTGTTCCTTTCTACTGACCCCTACACTCTGATCTTATCAACCTTCTCAGCTTTGTCGCCGTTCTTGCTTGCCCAGGTTTCCGTTTGTTAGTAGTTTTGTTAGATCTTTGCAGTTTTTCCTCCTTCCTCAGTCTCTCTTTCATTCTTTTTTCCTAGTCGTTTGTTCGTTCGCCATTTCTTTTTGTATCCAAATACTTTTCTTTCTTTCTTTCTTTCTTTCTTTCTTTCTTTCTTTCTAAGATAATATATCTTCTATAATAAATCTTTCTTTCTTTTCTTAAGTCGAAATACTTTTCATTTTTTCCTTGATAAATCTTTCTTTCTTGTCTAAGTCGAAAATCTTTTTCATCCTACCTTTGATAAATCTTTCCTTCTCTCTTTTTTAAATCGAAATACTTTCTCATTCTTTCCTTGATAAATCTTTTATTTTCGTTCTTTGTGAGCTGAAAGACGTTCTTTACTACATTTTCTTCCTTTCTTCAATATTTTTTTCCTTTTTTCTTTCTTTGTGTCCTTTTTAAAATCTTTTATTCTTTACTAAATTTTTGTTTGTTTCTTTGTTTCTTATGCAAATCGAAATAATGAATACCATCTACGGTGTCTAGCCTATACCTGTTGCAGACATCTGGTCAGATATATTTGTGTTTTTTCAACACCCACATAACCAAGCCCTGTTATATAAACTGCAACTGAATGGATTTTAGTTACAGAAGAGAGCGTTTTGAACTTACATTTCTGAACAAGGCCAGTATGATAAATACCTCAGTCACGATGACTTCTGGCTTTGTGCTAACACAACCATCGACGGTTTATCCAATTTCATACACGTGATATGGATTTTAGGCACTTCCCAACGAGGCAGCATGCTGGGATCGGTCTCCCTAGACCGATATTATCCAGATGTCATTTTTTTTTTTTACTAAATATTATTTTTTATTTCATTCAGTCTTCCTTTTCGTTCTGCATTTTCCCCAGTTTAATCGCTCTTTGATAGTGATTTTCCAAGCGTAGGTTTGATGCGGCACAAGGCCGAAAGTAGGAGGCACTCAGTGAGGATCGAACTCACAACTCAGTCGTAATTGTTCTAGCGAGACAAGCTTGCTAACCATTACACCACTTTGAGGTGCCCCAGTGATTTTCCAAGCGTAGCTTAGATGTGGCACAAGGCCGAAAGTAGGGGGCACCCAGTGAGGATCGAACTCGCAACTCAGTCTTAATTTTTCTAGCGAGACAAGCTTGCTAACTATTCCACCTCCTCGAGTTGCCCAAATCTCTCTTTGATAACCATTCTTTTAGGTTGATGTAGAAATTTTCTTGCATAATTTTCACAATTCAAGTTTATAGCATTATTGACTGAGTGATTGTTTCGATTTCTACGGCTTATCAACCTTTTTCAAGTTATTTAAAGCCAGAAAATATTTTTAGTCTGTAAGAATTTTTTTTTTAAGATAACGATTTGGTGATACAAATTTTACTAATTAACCCATAGCTGAGGGAAGAAGACGTGGATTCTCACCGTTCCCATGGGTATTTGCGCGTAAGTGAATATAACGAACCCAAATGAAATTAAAACTCTGTTTTCCGAATTCCAGTTCCGAGCCATTATCCATTACACCACCCGCACATCCAAGCTTACTGCACCTGGCATATAACATTATTATTCAGACAGGAAATGTTTTCCCTGAGTATGACCATACGCTACATTTAAGGCGAATAGTGCATTCTCTCATAAAATAAAGATTCCAGTTCTGATTAGATGAATTCCTCAAAGTAAATTTTCAACCTTATCAACTAGTTGGAACCACTGATCAAACAAGGAATATTGTATGAAGCAGAAGTGATTGTCTGCGGGTGACAAATCTGGACAGTATATCGCGTACAGAACTTCCCACTCCAGCCCCATGTCATTTACTGAGTGATCAATACATCAAAATCTTCGATGACGCAAAAAAAAATTATTTTATATTCCAGCACGCCATTTAAACGAGGCAGTTATATTCAACAGTAAAAAATTCTCTTGTTTTCTGTAATTAATTTTGGTTTTGCATCAAGCAAGAAAAAATGGTACATATGCGACCCATTTTTTTTCCTAATTTCTATTTTACAAGGCATGTTAATATAGTACGCTCTACTAGTTGCATAAGTAATAAGGAACAAAGTAACTTTGACATACACTTCTTAGATTTCCCTAAAATTTTCTGACAATAGTGGTAGTTACTTTCTTTCTGTTTGCCTGAATTGTTCTTTTTCTCTTTCTTTTTTTTTCCCACTATTTTTCCGATTTTTCTTTCTATTTTTCCAATTTTTTTTCTTTTTTTTTTTTGGAGGGGGCTTTTTATCTGCCTGAAATTTGTTTTGCGTAATATTTCTTTCTTTCGTTTTTTTCTTTCTTTCTGTCAATCATTATTACTTTCTTTCTTCATTTCTTTCTTTTACTTGTATCTTCTTTTCCGTTTTCCTTCCTCAAATATTGTTTCTTTCCCATCGTTTCTCTCGTATGTATACTGATCATGTTTTTATTACTGTTTCCATCAGTTTTATATTTTCTTCTCT